GAACTATCCGTGTGTATTTGTTGTTGTTCTTTTTTTCTCACTATCTAATGTCCACTTCGTATCCCTTTAAATCACTCTATCACTTTTAAGCACCCATCTTAATGTTGTTCTATAAAGACGAAAGTATCAGCAACTTTTTTTTTTTCAGCTTTTTGAAAACAAAAATTTAAGATGATGAAACTGTGATTCAACATTTAAAATACCAATACCACAGAAACTGAAATATACCAATTGCGGTAAATCAATTTTGGAACCAATATTGCTGAATACCTCAGTTACAATAGTCCAACACCGATTGTCCCCCTTTGCAACAATCTGCCCAGTTTTCTGACAGCACTGTTTTTACTCAACCCTTCAAGAATCTTTGCCCTGAATAATCGAAAAAATAAATAGAGCTGTCACATTATGAACATGATGATCTATCACGTCCATCTTTTTTTGCCTATGTGAGGATGATTGTAAAAGAAATAACTGAAGATTGGGGTGGAGAAGAGTAGGGCGAGAAACTGGAGAAAATTTATCACCACTTTCTTGTTCATATGTTGTTGATCAGTTTACAGATGCGCGACTAACAACAGCCTGTATGATGATGGATCAACAGTGAATACAGAGATAACTTGACTTCACAAACAGATGATCACTAATCATACAGATGATATACGCAAACATATCAAATTTTCAACGATACCGCACTTCAAAGGAAGTTGAATAAACAAGGTGGAACTATCTTTTTTTTTTTTTTCCTCTGATCAGCTTTCGATCAAAAAACTGTTATGTGTTCATTGTTATCATGTATCATCGCCTTTTATAACTGTTATCATTGTTTAAGATCATTTTCCTTCTTTTTTTTTTTTCTTATTTCTATTTTGAAAAACAAATCGGGAGTGTTAAATGTTAGTTGGTTGCTGTTGGTTGCTGTTGGTTGCTGTTGCAAGATGCAGCAATAAATCCCCATCTGTATCAAAGGTGTAAATGTCAAAGTTGCTTTAGGTTTATTGATCTCTAAATTCTTACAATTTCAAATTAATTGCGTGTTAATCACGTCAACTAAATTTCTTTTTTTAAATATAATGTATAGATCTACCGATGATTGCTAACAGAAAAAAAAAAAGAAATTTTTGTCCTGTTTATTGGTAATTAAAAGTTAACGTAAAAAAACCTTATTAGTTTTTGTGATATTTATGAACCGGTTAAAACAGAAAGCAAAATGAAAAGCAAAAAGCAATGCAAAGAAAAAAAAAAA